AGGTTAATCTTTGCAATCTGGTACATTTCTTTCTTCTGATGGTACAACAAGGCCTTGTGGCACACTTCGTGTCTGATGCACAAGATGGCCCTGAAACACACAGTTCTTTTATCTTTATACCTATTTTTACCCAATTAACAATAGACACGTATATTATTTTTCTTAATGACCCAATGACCCATCACCTCTGTGATGCACTGTGGAATTTTCTATCCAATCACTCAATACCCAATAACCTCTAGGAGAAGAACATGAAGAAGAAAGAAGAAGGAACAAGGGACAACACCTTAAATTTTCTATCTTGTCTCCTGTTCTCTAAACTAACTTTTTCACCCCGTGTTTTAAAAAAACTTTCTAATCTACACACTTACACTTTTAGCTTTTTCTATCCAACTTCAACATTTGTTTTCATGTATCACCATGAAAACATGCTCATGAATTTCATATTATATGAAATTCAGTGTTTTTATGGATCTTAGAACTAAATATCAGAAACAAGAGCACACACTCTGTGTCTCAGACTCCAACACCTCAAAACTCCTGACATTTCCAGAAACTGAAAAGAGGATTTCTGCCCCTGAAAGCAGCACTCCCCACAGGTGATGGCATCTCGTGCTGCTCCATTGAAGGGCCTGGCAGTTCAGCCTGATGAACTCCCACATCCTAGAGAGCTGCAGATGTTCCTGTTTAACCCCAAATATCGCCCAAAAGAGAGGGCCTGGAGGAAATTTAGGTGTAAAACTGTGAATTATTTCAGGAAACACCAACTGCAGCTGGAGCAATCGCAAAGGTACCTGTGGGAAAGCGTGCACGCACAGGTGTGGTGGGGTTGGGTGGGATCAGGCCGGGAATCAGATCCCGATTTTCTGATTTACCGCGGGACTTCTCCTCTGATCCCAATTCCCAGTGTGGTGGTGGTGCCTGGTGTGCTGGTGGTGGGTCTGGGACCCCTAAACTGGGATCTGGGACCCCTAAACTGGGATCTGGGATCCTCGAACCGGGGTCTGGGACCCCCAAACTGGGATCTGGGACCCTCAAACTGGGATCTGGGATCCTGTCGTGGTTTTAAACCAATAACTAAGAAAATTACTTATTTCTTGCTGTGAGATATGGATTAGACCAAGAGCAAAACAGGCTTAAAACTTAAAAGGAAAAAAGAAGAAAGTTTATTGACAAACTACAATAATAAGAACACCAGAATAAACTTCCAGAAAAACCTTTTCATCCCGTCTACCCACTATTCCCTTGTTCACATGACAACAGAGACAAAAACTTTGGAACTTTGATGGTTAAAACAGTCCCAATTCTTGCTACAGTCTTTTCACCAGTCTTTATAGAGAAACAGAAGTTTCTTCCTGTTAATTTATGGAGTTTCTCACAAGAAAAACTATTTTTGTTATAGTTTTCCATTGCCCTAATGTTAGCTGCCCAGA